AGTTATTTGTTATTGTTTTTTGAATGCTTCACGGTGCTTATAATAATATTAAGATATATTTTTTTATAAGAACATAAATTTATTCAAATTTATAATATATAAAGATTTATAACATTATTGATGTTATTTAATGAGTAATGATGTATAAAATTAATTTATTATTTATAACATATCTTTATTTTTATAAGGAAAAAAGGAGAAACATCATTTTCCAACACACCACATACTTGATCAATAATAAATCTTCATTATTAACTCTAATTAATTATCTAATTTTTCATAGGGAGTACACAATAATAATACTAAAGAAAACGAAATCAAAATAATTTTTTTATGTTTTTAGTACCATTTTGTAATTCTGCCTCTTCCACGTCTTGCAATCATTTCATCATTATTCCTTGTCCTTTGAGATCACTAAATAATTCATTACGTACAAAGCATAACGTAAGTAATTATGTCTCGTCAACTTTTATATAATATCTTATTTTTCTAGAAAATTAAGAACAATTATTCATATGAATTATTTATTATTTATTATTCAAATTTATTTCATTTTTAATAATAAAATTTAAATATTTTTAATTAATAATCTATCTTTGTCCCCTATAATTTTAAAAGCTCATCACTTTAAAATTTTATAAATCCATCTATTGACATAAATTTTCACGTTCGTCCCTCGTTTAAAAAGTATATCACTATTGCATAATACATGCAGACTATTCCTATAGCTCGAAATGTTGGAGTTCTTTTATAATAAATTATATAAAATTTGTTTGTGGGTAAGTACCAGGTTCATATGCACCAAACCATTACCATATAAAAATAGTACATGCAATTGGCAATTGAGTAATTTAATTTCTTGACCTTATACATGAAATTTTTGCTGACGACAAGTCTTTCGATCTTCTTCTGTCAGGTAATGTAACTTGGCAGATCATCTCTCCGCAAACAACATACTCAACCAACGATCCAATTGAACTCAGAATTCAATGAAGAAATCTGCTATTTCTCTTCTTCTTTTTATTAATGCAAGTTATGTTAGATTTGTGAGAAAGGGTTGACTTGCTTTGCTGATTCTGGTTTTCTCATTTGTGTTAAAAAAATTACTAATTAGTTTTTGATTGGAGTGCATATAGATAAGAAAATCAAAAGCTATTATTTATAATAATCATAGTGTTGCTGATGTCGAGACTGATGACACTGAAAGCGAAGTTGGGGAGAGTGTTTACAGTAGACCTCTTTTGATTAAGAGAGTGAACGTCACATCCCAGATTGCTATCGTTGGCGCCAATGTTTGCTCCGTCGAGAGCCTCGATTACGACTAAACAACCCCTGCCCCTTGCATTTCTTCATTTAAATTTCTAATGATTTGATGAAGAATGGAACTGTAATCATGTTACAAATGTCCTAGACTCATAGTCGTATAGAGCATTAGTTTTCTTGGCAACTAAGGCATTGCCTCATATATCTGGTGTGTATAACAGGATTCCAGAGAATGAATTAGTCAATGAGGATTGGCGGTAGAGGACGAAGATTCAAGTATTTCAGTATGTTCTGATAAAGTGGGCATTTGCACTTATTGTAGGCATAAGCACTGGCCTAGTTGGCATCTTTAACAATATAGCAGTTGAGAATATTGCTGGGTTCAAGCTGCTTCTTACCACAGAGCTCATGCTGAAGCACCGGTAAGCCAGCTATTCTATCGACTGCAACATTTTAAGGCATGCTCCTGGGCTTGTTGCCTTAGCCGAATTTGTCGAGGGTGCAAAACGCACTCCAGGCGTAGATCCTTATTTTTGTGTGTCTTATACTTTTAAGTGGATTTACATTACAGTTTCATGATTCAGTGCAGATATTACAAGGCTTTTATTGCATATGCTGGCTGCAATTTAGGTCTTGCGGCGTTAGCTGCGGCACTTTGTGCTTTTATTGCTCCGTCAGCGGCAGGTTCTGGTATTCCTGAAGTGAAAGCATACCTCAATGGTGTGGATGCTTATTCAATAATGGCTCCAAGTACTCTTCTTGTAAAGGTGAATGGCCTTCTTAGTGTTAACCAATATTTAAGAAGGCTATTTGGCCTGATATCTATATGTGCTCCTGATACCGGTTTACCCTATTTGCATCTCTTTCCATAACAAAATATAGTATGGGAAAGCCAGGGCATACCGCTTCTATGTATTGTCTGATGACTGAAACTGTTTTTCCGGTTGCGAACATACATTTAATTTTCTTATTTTATATCTGGCAGATTTTTGGTTCAGTTTTTGGTGTAGCTGCTGGTTTTGTTGTTGGAAAAGAAGGGCCTATGGTTCACACAGGTTCTTGCATAGCTTCTTTAATTGGGGAAGGAGGTTCCCGTAAATATGGTTTGACATGGAGATGGCTTAGATATTTCAAAAACGATGGCGACAGGAGAGACTTGATAACTTGTGGAGCTGCTGCCGGTGTGGCTGCTGCTTTTCGTGCTCCGGTCGGTGGTGTCCTCTTTTCTCTTGAAGAGGCAGCTTCATGGTACCCGCCCCACCTCCCCACACCCCTTTTATTTGTCGACAAAACGGGTTTTGGTGTTACAGTCCCCACCTTTTCTTTCTTTTCCCTTTTTCCTTGTTTTGGCTTGCAGGCTCTAATCTCTATTAAATGCTGGCAGATTTTGCATGGCTTGTCAGATAATCCATCGCATTTACTAGAAAAATTCTTCTCCATGCTATTGAGGCCGTAAACTTTCTTGTTTTATTTGCTCAATGGAAAGTCTTGAAACACCTCATTCTACTAAATGAGGTGAAAAAGCATGATAGTGTGATCATTTTGCAGATTGTTTGGTAGTCTGGCATGGGACAGTATGTGCATCTGCAAAACCGCAAAGTGTTTTAATTATAACGATGATCAAAATGGTGCTTGAATTTTTTTCCGTTGCTTGTCGACAGGTGGAGTGCTCTTCTTTGGAGAACCTTTTTCACAACGGCAGTTGTTGCTATAGTTTTGAGAGGTTTCATAGAATTCTGCTCTACTGAAAATTGTGGGTTGTTTGGGCAAGGAGGACTGATTATGTATGATATTAGTGCAGCCAAAGTTGTATATAGTGCTCCGGATATACTGGCTGTGATACTTCTAGGGGTTATTGGAGGCCTCCTTGGAAGCCTATATAACTATCTAGTGGATAAGGTTCTTCGCACCTACAGCATCATTAATGAGTATGTAACACATTCAATCATGGATCCTGGAATTTTCGTTTATGTAGGTGAGAGATTTTGTTATCGTTATTAACATGACAGCCTGTGTCGATGATCTTGTGAATTATCTCTGATAAAACTTCTGCAGATGGCGGTTTTTATCCTTGTTTTCATCTGATGAGAAATCCTACAGCTTAGTGGTTCCCCTGTTTCTGCAGAAAAGGAGCGATTGTCAAGATCGTACTTGTTATTATGATCTCCCTGTTGACATCGATATGTTCTTACGGCTTGCCGTGGTTAGCTACATGCGTCCCCTGCCCTGACAATGCATCCACAAGTTGCCGCAACACTGATGTATCTGGCAACTACAAGAGCTTCCAATGCCCAACTGGTCATTACAATGTCCTGGCCTCTCTGTTTCTAAACACAAACGATGATGCTATTCGCAACCTATTGAGTACCAATACCGAAAAAGAATTCCATATTTCTTCTCTTTTCATCTTCTTTGGTGTTGTTTACTTCCTTGGCATAATCACTTATGGCATAGCTATCCCCTCCGGGCTCTTCACCCGTCATATTGGCCGGATCTTGCTATGGTCGTCTTGTTGGTAGGCTGTTTGAGCCGGTATCTAAACTTGATGTTGGTCTCTTTTCCCTCCTTGGTGCTGCTTCTTTTCTTGGTGGCACTATGAGAATGACAGTTTCCCTATGTGTTATACTGCTTGAGCTCACTAATGATCTATTAGTGCTTCCACTAGTCATGTTGGTTCTCCTTATCTCAAAAACCATGGGTGACATGTTCAACAAGGGCGTCTACGACCAAATAGTAAAAATAAAAGTATTGCTTTACATGGGGGCCAGTCCAGAACATTACATGAAACATTTAGTCGCTCAGGATGTTGTTACCGGTCCTTTGATCACCTTCTCTAGTGTTGAGAAGGTTCGAAACATAGTACATGCTTTGAGAAGCACAAGGCACAATGGATTCCCTGTGATTGATGAATCACCTTTTTCAGATGCTCCGGAGTTGTGTGGGCTTGTTCTAAGGTCTCATCTGCTTGTTTTGCTAAAGGGGAAGTTTTTTTAAGGGATAGGGTACTAGCTCGAAACGAGACTTTACGTAATATTGCTGAATTAGACTTTGCCAAGGGAGGGTAAGGAAAGGGACTCAAACTAGAGGATCTAGACATTAAGGAGGAAGAAACGGAAATGTATGTTGATCTCCATCCTATCACGAATACATCACCGTACGTGGTTGTTGAGACCATGTCAGTCGTGAAAGCGGCAGTTCTCTTCCGTGAACTTGGTCTTCAGCACATGTGTTGTACCAAAGAGTCGGGGGTAAGTCCCTCTTGCTCAATCGTTGTTATATTTGTGTGAGAGCGTGATATTTTATACAGACAATTTTATATTAACTATTCAATTGTAACGCAGGGGCCTCCAGTAGTCGGGATTTTGACACGACATGACTTCCTGCTAGAGCATATTCTAGGACTGTACCCCCACATCAGATACCGGAAGTGATTATTCTGATGAGTTTATATTGGTGGATTAATGTTACGAAGTTAATGTTTGGCCTACTTGCTGGAAAAGAAACCCACATTTTGATGAACATAAACAGTTTGGTTTATTTATTTTCCCTATAGTTTCCGTTAATGCAAAGTTGTTTGTGGTAGCAATTGAACTTGATTCCAAGGAAATCTATTTTTTTTTGTTATCTTTTTCCTAAAGAAGAAACGATCGAGATCATGAGAGAATTACAATTCATTTTGTAGTTCTAGTTCATAATGACATCAGATGTGCTTAAAGAAATTAAGAAAGCTAAATTAATAGTCATAATAATAATAATAATATATAATAATAGTAAAGCAAAAGGTTGTTTAAATAGGGCACGGTTTAAGTGTCCTTAACAATTGTCATTGCCACCTTACATTATTCCCTCCGAAAACACCACAATGTTATCTACAACTCTTAAGATTGGTTATTGTCATGGAGAGTTCAAAACCAATAATTCTATTCTAAAGTTTTCAAAAGCCTAAACAAACCTGCCGCTTCTCGAATCCTTGAAAACTCAATGCAGAAGGCTTGAACTTCGATAAACAGATCCTTAACTGCAATTACCAAAAATAAGTGCAAATAGACATAGATTAATATGTCCGCCAACATTTTGGGATTCATTCTTACTCGGACATAGTTGGTAATTAAAATAAACATTATAGATTCAGATGAAACTCTCTTCTTACCATCAATTATTCTGTTTCTGATTAAACTCTGTAAGAAAACACATACAAGTCGCACGAGTCTGTTCTGCATGTACTTATCCTGAAATTGGGAAACATGGTAACAAGGTAATGCACAAAACCTTTTGTTCAAAAAGAGACCGACAAATGAAATTGCACCCAAGTTATAACTTTCTGACTAAAACAGCATTGACAAATTCAAATGCAAACAAATCAGACAGATACAGACTTTGGACAATGAATTGCATTCCAAATTTTGAGAAAGACCATGTCTGTTTACATCACAGGAGCCGCTTTTTCTTCAGCTCAAAAAAACTTATGGTTTCATTAAGTAATAATACATGTGTCCATTTCATGGTCACCAATCTTATCAATTCCACAAGACCATAACCCAACACAAGTGCAGGACAAAAATGCCAAGATGATTTTTTCATCTTCAATCAAAAAGCATGTCATGCATATCAAAACACCAGTTGGGGAAAAGAACAATAAAAACAAACACCACAAGAAAATAAAATATATACGGGAGGTACCTTTATGTTCTCGCAGGATGCTATGCAATTAGTTATGTAGATACGAACAAATTCCTTAGGAAGTTCAACTGCAGTTGTGAGCCTGTTCACAACTTCCATGGAGTGTAGACTCATGTCCATGTTAACAAGAACTGTAAAATACCTGGATGCTCATTTGCAGAAAAAGAAACTTTACATGTTAGAAAGAGAATGTTGATTGTGGTACATTGAACACAAACTTGACATGTTCACCAAATACATACTCGGAGATTTCAGGAGAATTAATTAACCTCGTCAGAACATCAACAGCAATAAGCGGATTGTTTTCCACCAATTCCTGAAATTAAGCAGGTTGAATTTTAAAACAGCATTACACTATGGTTACAAGCCAAACAGTAAAATTCTTAAATAACATACAGGTAACTTCCTTGGAGTCAATCCACAGTGGTAGACAAGCTTGGGGTCATTAGTCAGCTCCAATACGACTTGCTGAACAGTAAAAGGAATATATTAGTCTGTTTCCAACTACAAATCGTAAGTTCTCCAAATAAAAATGCAACTAGGGTTCAACAATTAGCAAGATGTATTTATACAACGGCATTTCCCCATAAATAAGACAAACCGTGTTAAACAAGCTGCCACTCTACCAAATAATCATATTTTTGACACAAGTCTACATCCAAAGACTAACTCAATTGTCTTTGTTTACTATTTAAAATTACTTCATAGAATACCAACTCTATTGTTCAAAATGATTCAATAAACCAACAATAGAACCCAAACAAGACCAAATCACCCACACTAACATAAACCAGCTATTGAATGTAAATCATTATCAATCACCATCTTCAACAGTTAGATATGGAGTCTTAACAGATTTACATGAGATGGGCTTAATTGCAAGGAAGTAAAATTCTTCACAATAACATAAGAAAAATGAAACGTAATGTTTTTAATTCAAATATAGGAGATGTACAGAATGGATTGATGTACTGAATTATCAGCATTTACTAAAGATACAAATCTCAAAGAGGCAGATCCAACTATCAAGCTCAAACTGTAGTGCTCAACCAGATTGTTTTCAGTAACAGGATGGTTTAGTATATCGTTGTAAATAATTAAACCATATTAGGATCTATTGTCTTGGCCTATATATCCAATGTTGCATAAAACATTTATAATGATTCAATTACAGATCATCTTATCAATCTGGTTTAAACAATGCAGATTGGTAATGAAATAGAACACACTGATACATGTGCAATCAAGTAGTTTTGACGTGGTTTCATTCAACTTTTTTCTAAGAATCAGAGAACCTGTAGAATTTTGTTTCTTGTTAACCAATCTGAATCAGCTTTTCTTTATATTTTGGCTCAGGCCCACATAAAATCATAAGCTCTGAAGAACATAAAGGTGCTGCAATTGTGGTAAGGATGTTAATTACCTATGATAGTGCAAGGTTAGACCAAATCAGTCAATTAACTATGATTTAATTTGAAAATTAATAAAAAAAGTTTGGCCATTAATGTTCAGTCATACTCTTTCTCACTTCTCTCAACTTTTCATTTGTTCCCCCTGCCACCAATGACAACCATGCCAATCCAATTTGTATCAAGCTTAATATCACCACTCACAGCAACTAAAATCAGACATTTATATAAGGACCACAACGCAAATAGAATGTTGCATGGTTGTAAATAGCAATTAGTTTTGCCTCTGTTTAATTTTTAACTTTTTGTATTACAATAATTATGGCATGCAAATGGAATCGGCACGTTCTAGCCACATAATTATGTGCCCAATTAGCCACCAAAAGATGCAATATATTCTGCCACTAAACTGTCTTAGTGGGACCAAATTTGCAAGATGATGGCTTTAACTGAAATGAATCAAAGGTTAATTCCTACAACGAACATCTTACTAAGGTTTAAGAGTTAGGTTGGGCTCTTGTTCTTATAATGATCTTGATCAGACCAACAATCCCAACATTTGTTGCCCTAATGCTATATAAGTTCAGAGGTATTAAGGCTGTTAAGCTTTGGCAACGAATTCTTTGAATATTAGCTCATTAGAACACAACTTAAGCATTTTTAGAATGTAGCTTTTATTGTGATACCAAATGTATCATGGACATTTGAATTTACTGATATTTATCAACAGCAGTCCCAATGAACTAATCACTCCATGCAAAGAAAAGAAGGCGCATCGCATCCTAGATCAAAATAATGATTATTAGACATGATTATTAGATGTGTAAATATTGTGTTGTAAGGGTATGAAACCTCTTGTTGGTTAGGTGCAAGTGCTCCCTTCAAAGCTTTTGCAATTAAGTCTCTCACTGCTGCTCCTCTGCTAGTATCAGCACACATCCCTTGATCCCATTGAAGCTCATGATTGTTATCAGGGTTGAGCCACACTAACTGAAAAGTTGTTGATGGTAAAAAGGGGGAACTCAATTAACCAATTAAAAAACAGCCCATGAAAAATATGTTTTTACCTCCTCATCCACTGGGAACCTAGGTGGAACAGGCCTGATCCAACGAGGACATAACCCCTCCAAAGACAAATTCGCTATCAATCCACTTATGGCTTCATCTCTGTCCCCAGATACAAGTTTAGATTTGGCTCCAGGTTGTAAATCCAATCTAATGAGAAAAATAATACATTAAACGATAATGAATCATCATATACAGAACAAGAATATTTTTAAACAAAAAAGCAACATAAAAAATCCCAAGACACATACTCAGCTGAATTTGCATCATAACCACAAGGAACATCAGGATCTGCCAACAGATTTTTAACTGCAATGTTCTGTAATAGGCAACTGTATGGTTCTGGATGGACTCTCTCGAAATATTGTTTCTGTAACTGCTCTCTTTGTGGGAAATTCTAATATAAAACAGATAAAAAAGAGGGTCTATCAGGTGAGAGGAAAAACTGAAACTCTTAAAGGTAGAGAGTTATTTTATTATTATTTTAAATAATGAAAAAGGGAGGAAAAGGAAGGCAAGTGGAAATGGATAGAAAATCGTTTTCCAACAAATGCAATTGAAGTTACCCTTCCCCACCCCCTAGTCAACAAGAAAATAAGAAAATATCAATCAGGGTTCATTAATCTAAAACATAATTACATAGAGGAAGTCTACATCCAAATGGTACAAGAATTAAAACTTAACCTCAACAGGAACTCAAATTTGTTTTTTTTTTTCATCGGAAAGGTTGTAATTACAAGACAAACTTACTTGGGATGAAGGATCAAAGTTCTTGATGTAATCTGATGCAGACTGTTTAAGAAACTGTAAGACAAAATTTGACAAGAATGTAATTTCTTTTAAGTATGGGAATTACAAAATAACTATAATCAGCAAGACATTAAAAAAATCCATCCAACTCAACAGAAACCCACAGGGACCAACAATCACAGTAAACTCCTAATCAAATCAAACAAATATTCATCCAAAGGACTGTACACACTAACACCTTACAACAAATGCATTAATTTATTAGAACTAATATTATGACATGTTTGGCATACCCATGCCTCACAAACTGTCAAAATGAAGAAAAATAAATAGCAAAGACAGGAAGTCCAAAGTGACTTTCCCTTTGATTAATTTCATTCTCCCCTTTTATGCACTTAAATATATATAGAAAGGTTTTTGCAAGTGGATCCCTAAAAAAGTTAAAATCCCCTATTCTTAGTTGTTGATCAAAACTTTTCACACATGAATATGAGTCCATGAGAATGCAACTAATTTCCCAGCTTCTTACAAATGGAAAACTGGGGGGGGGGAGAAGAAAACCTCTTTACTACTGTTGGAGTTGCTAGAGTTGAGCAATTGGAGAATAAATGCCCTCTCATATTTTTCAGCCCCATCATCAAATGCAGCCTGTAATATCCACAAGACAGACACAAAAAATAAAACAAAATTATATTACAAAAACAAAAATAGCACTACATGATTGCCGAAGTCATATAAGCATTAGGTGAAAATAAAATGTGATCAAACTGAGAGAAGACAGTAAAATATCATTGGCAATGACAAGATGAAACGAGTAATTTTGTACATCCTTCTTTCTTTTAGTTCTCACAAGGTTGGAAACAACACAATGTGAGAATGACCGGCTTAAATTATTAGAACAATACAGGTGACAAGTTAAGGATTTTTTAGAAGAAAATTAATTTATTCTTCCACGTTAGCAAAGAAGGAAACTTCTTTGGCTATCAAATATGCACTACTATGATAGAATAGCTGCACCCAAAGGCCCAAAGTTTCAATCCTTCTAAAGAAAGCACAATCAAATTGAAAAGTTAGCATTGAAAAAACTAGCTCTAAATCAGACTAGCATGTTTGCCTCCATATACACATAGAAGCATATGGATTTTGTAACCTAAATAAGCTATATATAAGGACATACATGGTAAACTCAGCACATGAAAACATATAAAGAGAAAAACATTTGCTGAGTATGCTTACATGAAACATGACAAGGAAAAAGAAAACTGGCTTACGTTTACAAGAAAGGAAATAAATGGATTTGCAGCAGACTTCTGAGAGGAATAGCTTCGATGAAGAATAGCAAATGCAACCAATCGTTCTGTAGAAGAGATCATCACTTTGTCCTGAGATAATTCAAGCTTAGTCAGTAATCAATCCGAACATATTTTTAGGACATGTCCACTTTTTGAAGAGCTATAATAATTCTTGATCAAATATGACAAATCTAACCTAGGATACAGCCATGCATTGTGGAAGAACCACATGCTATAATGGGAGCGTGTACCTCCAACAGGAGGTAACACAAGATGATAATACTCCAATATTTATCCTTAAAAAAGACAACCTAGCTTACCAAAAACAATAAACGGTTTGATAAAACAGAAGGACAACTGATGGAAGACTTCTGGAGTTCCATCTGCATTCACTTTTTCAAAAAGTTACCACTAGGTGCCAAAAGCCAGCACTTAAATTAGACAGGAAGATTCCAAGGTGTTTCTAATGGTAAGAAAAATACTCCCACAAACTAGAGTAATGAAAGGGTTACTAACAAGAATTTGGCACCCATGAATCCCTCCTAAATTATTTTCTCTAATTGAAATCACTTCTAAAAGACAAGGTTCACTAACAAATTAGACGAATGCTGAATCCTCCAAATCTTAGGAAGGAAAAAGGATATGATTGAATGACCACAATTATTGAACCAATTAGCCGGAGTAAAATCCATTTGCCAAATAAGCAAAACAAACTCGACTATATTGAGCCATGGATCTAAACATGTTATAAAGATTGTCAGGGCAAAGAGCATTCTAACACAGATCTAAATTAGTTATAAGGATTACCATGGACAATAAGCATTCTATCTGATAACCATATGACTTGACTCCCGCTTCATTAATCCAATTTTCAAGTTCAGATTCTCTAGTACCGTAATCTAACACTATATTACTAAATTCCAACCCAAAACCAATACAACTATGCATACAAAACTTACAATAGTGCGGCAGCTTTTCCATTTTAAATGACAATTAAAACTTAAAAACAACAGTTTCTCAACATCTAGAGCAAAACTCACAGATGATCCCTAAAAGTCGTAATAAAGCGTACGAGGGAAGTTAAACTCAAATATGAAAACCCTAAAACCCTAGAGAGAGAGAGAGAAAAATGAAAACGTTAGGGGGAAAATTGAAAACGAGGAGGAGAAGCCTAACCTGCAATAAAAGAGAAAGAGAATAGCAGACATTGAAATGACGGAGCTTGGAATTGCTGAAGAATTCAGTGACTGTTTCTTCGATTGATTTTTGCTCAGATGACGATTTCAACAAGTTCACTATCTTACACTGTTCTTCCAAATTCAGCATCTTCTTACTCATTCTTTTTTTTTCCTGAAATTTTCTAGCGGTATTTAGCAAAAGAGTAATGAACCCTTCGCTTGCCTTCCTATTTATGAGAATCCAAAGAGTTTAGATATGCTGCTATTTATAATTTTATATTTAATTAGTTATGAATATAAACCCTTAAAATAATAACGGACGACTAATACGACTCCGTTGGCTTTTTTGGGCCTTTATAGGCCCATATAACTGTCTCCACGTTTTGGGCTAAGTATCCGGTACTGGCTGCTTCATATGATATTATTTTATTGGATAAAGTACAATGGTTCTTTAATTATAGCACGTTGTTTTATTGAATAATCTGACTATTAAAAAATATAAATTGATCTTTCAATTGTAGGGCGTTGTTTTTTTTAGTCTTATGACTATTAAAAGTTACAAAATTTTCACTTGACTATTCATATGCTCTAAACTCTTCATTTTTTGTTAAAAATTTGACGATCGTCTGAGTTGGGCGTTAACTTACTAACTGATATATGATAAAATAATATTTTCATGATGTCTATTGGTACCATTATTACTTTCAAGTATTAACTTGACTGCATAATGTTCCAAGCACTTGCTTGATGACATGTTATAAACATATAATCGATCCACAAAATACATATCAAATAGTTTGATGATTCTATTTTAATCATATCCAATGAGCATGTTAACGTCCAACATTGACGGCTGCCAACTTTTTAACATAAAATGATGAGTTTGAAACATATGAATAATCGCACGAATATTTTGTAAAACAACTCCTCATAATTAGAGGATTGCATGGGATTAAACAAACCAACATCCTATAGCCCAGACTATTTATGTGCTTTATCCTATTTTATTTAAATTAATTATTTTATATTCACAACAATATTATGATTTAATATAAGAGTAATTTCGATTTTACTTCTTTATTTTTCTTTCTTTTCTAAAATAATACTTCTTCTAAAATAACGCAATATTCTAATATAAAAATAATTCACTGTTTAAAAATTCAACATGGATTTAATAAAAAAAAATATCAACATGGATTAATGGTTTTCATATAAATTATTTACCACTATATTTATATTATTTTTTTATAAAATGTTTTTAACATATATTTTAAAATTTTAATTAATTAATTTTTAAAATATTACTACTTTTAAGAATATTATTAATTTATATAAAAAATTATACTCTTATTTTTAAAGTTCTTGATTCATTTTAGTGTCACTTAAGTGTACACCAGCTCAAAATACATAAAAACCAAAGTATTAAATAGAAAATAAAAAATTATAAAGTTATAATAATAATTTAACTTTTTGTACTAATAAATATCTATCATTGGAAATAATTATTTTTAAGATTTTTAAGAATAAAATAATTTATATTAAATTTAAATTTTATTAGTTCGTTATATGTAAATCTGATACACTTGAATATTTGTTTATCTTGACATTATATTTTATTTTAGCATGTTGTTTAAATTCAACTAATATTTTATATAGTTTATTAAAATCATTTAATTTTGGTTTTAAATTTATTTAATTAAAATTAAATACTTTTAAGCATTATATATTAATATTATATTTATTGATTATCAATTGGATTAATGAACTGAACAATAATTTTTTAAATAAATTTTATAATTTGAATATACGATAATTTAACCTTTTAAAATTTAAATAAATTTAGTCGTTTTTTTTCTTTTCTTTAAACCATAAAAGTCATCAATTCACATCACTTTTCTTTTTTATTTTGCTTCAAAGGCGGTGAAATCAACGTTAATGTTAGTTGTCGATCGTTTATATTCATTATTTCTTATTTACTTTTTTATTATTTTAGTTTCTAATAATCATGTTTTTATAACGCCTTTTCTACTACTTTTACAATACGTTTTTGATGTTTAATTAATTTTTGTTTTATTTTTTAGGGTTTAATTTGATATCGTATCGACTAATTAAGATGAAACTTATTTTTTATCCTATTAATATTCTCTGTTTTGGACACTTATATTGGACTTAGATACATGGTTTGCATTTGTCTATAGTTTTCTTGCGATTCTCGATTTCGATTTATATTTTTCAGTGATTTTTTAATAATTTAATCATTTGTTGTCAGTCAAATTTATTCGTATTTATTTTTTGTTTGAGTTATTTCAATGAGTTTTAATTTTTTCGTTGTTTGGTCATGTATGACTTTATAAATAACTAGTTTATTATAAGATATTTTAATTGTATTTAATTTAAAAATTTTATTATATGCTATTTTTAATAAAATTTACGACTCTATTCGTATAAAAATTGGACGATTAAATTAATATTAAATTAACTAATGATATTAAACTCAATCTAATTATTTTAAATACATTGGATTTTGAAAAATAAAAATAGGACATAGTAAGCAATTTTTTTCTAAAATGGGATCGGAATTGAATCGTTACGAGTGGAAAACAGTGTTCCAGTTCCAGCATTTTCACATTTCTGTTTATTTATTTCAGAATAATTAAACGCTGAATAATTTAAATATTGAATAATTCAAAAACTCTATATAAATTAGTTATGAATATAATATGATGTTTGATAATATATCTAAATCATTTAAAATATACTTTAATGTTGAATCATTTAATATTATTTTACTAAATCAATTATCATTAATCATTCAGAAATATAAAACAAATACTCTTAATGATTAGCCAAACAAACAGCCCGTATTCGTAACCCAAACCCCCCAAAATTTCCAATTTCCAGGCCTTATCATTTTCACAGCAAGTTTCCATTTTTAATCCCCCATTACTACCGAATGACCTCATCAAGTTTCAACAACAACAGTATCTCAATCTTGGTCTCAGATGAGGAATCCGATGAACTCGGCCGAAAGCGAGTCCGAGCCTGGAGGAAACGCAAGAAACATGGTCATCAGCGACCCAGGAACGAGTTGAACCAGCGTCTCATCCGTTTGTTCGTCAAATACTGGATGTTCCTCATATTCCTTCCTGCCGCGGTGCTGATCATTTTCGAGGTAACTAGCATTGGTAGAAAACCCGGATTGGTCGCCAACGCGGAAGTTAATGAAGTGAAAAAACCCAATTTGATGGGTAACTCAGAACTTACTAAACTGAAGGAACCGACTCAAGGGAACAAATCCGGCCGCAATTTGAACCGGCTCGATCCAATCACTCATGTTGTCGGCGGTGTTAGAGAACGTAAGTAGTGTATCACATGAATCTCTCTTTTCACAATCTTTGGTGAAATAGAAGCTAGGTAATTTTTATAATTATGGGACAAAACTGTTGTCAAATAGGAAATTTTTAGAAATACATGAATAAATGACAATGTTTGTTGTATCTACTAGCTTGCTTGAAGCTCTTACCAGCTGAGGAACTTGAGCATCTGGATATTCCTGACGATGAAGAATCTACTAGTTCTATTCCTGTCAAAAAATTGGTGTATATCTCAGACGATGAAACGTCTTATGGTGGGGGGAACTCTACCTTCTCTTGGCAGCGTACAAATGGCAGTCGATTTAATTTATTCACTGGAAACCAAACCTTTGATGAGAGAGAGAGAGGTTTTAAGGTTTTGAACCTTAATAAAAGGCAATGATGAATTTTTATTGTTACATTTTTCCGGTATTGTGGATTATGCTTATGCGTGGAATTTGTTTGTCTAGGTGAGTGAAACTGTTGTTCTACATTGCGGGTTTTTTAGTCCAAATGGTGGTTTTGAAATATCGGATAGAGACAAGAGCTATATGCAAACTTGCAAAATTGTGGTTTCTACTTGTGCTTTTGGAGGTGGAGATGATCTTTATCAGCCTATAGGAATGTCACAGACATCTCTTAAAAAGGTGAGCATATATGATGCTAAAGCTTACTTATTGCTTAGATGTTTTTAACATTTTTATTTTGTTTTCCCCCTTATTTATTGTAATTCAGCATTTTGTTGTTTCAGGTTTGCTATGTTGCATTTTGGGATGAAATTACGCTTGCAGCGCAGGAATCACAGGGCAATAAGATCGGTGAGGATGGACTGATTGGAAAATGGCGTATTGTGATTGTACGTAATCTGCCTTTTGTAGACCAGAGGTTGAATGGTAAAATTCCTAAGGTATGGCGGTTACATTGTATAGATGAACCTGCCAAATAGTAGATAATATTCAATTTTTGATTTCTGAACATTGTCTTTCTTGTTTCTACTGCTTGCTAAGTTGCTATCAACTTTTTCTGCATTTTTTTGACTTGTTTAAACTCTTCTTCATGTTCTCCAACAGTGGCTTTTCTTGTATTTGCATTTCTTTGATCACGTAATATGTTGATTAATGACATTTTCTTCCTTCATAGCTTTCTTTGCTTTGATGCTTATGCATCTGTCTCTCAAATATATGCTAATAGTTTTTATGTAGAATGATTTAATGTGTTTGTGGCTAACAGATGTTGCAGCATCGACTCTTTCCTCATGCAAAGTACTCTATTTGGGTGGACTCGAAATCCCAATTCAGGAGGGATCCTCTAGGTGTAGTGGAAGCTCTTCTTTGGCGTGGGAATTCAGTTCTTGCAATTTCGGAGCATGGAGCTCGTAGTAGTGTCTATGACGAGGCAAAGGCTGTCGTCCGAAAACACAAAGCTACACCAGAAGAAGTTGAGGTTCAAATGACTCAGTATCATGAGGATGGACTTCCCAAGGACAAGAGATTTAATGGAAAGAAAGGTATTCGTCTGTCTTCTCTTTTGTGGTTATTAAGGAAGTAAGCTTTACTATATTAAAGGCCAATCGGAATGATGATCCACCATAAGTAGTACATTTTTCATCATTCCTTGCCCAATATCTGGTTCACTTTGGCTGAATTAAGCTGCTCCTGGTTTTGAGGATGCAAATATGTTATGCAAGACCCAGAAGGCAGTGAAAAGCAGTTTGTTGTTATCTGTTTAAAAGCTTTTATTGCCTTGACCTATTAACCCTGCTTATGATCAGTGTTGTATAAATTTGGGTCTAGCATTCTTGTCTAGCTGAGGTTGGTGGCATTTAATGTCAACCATTTCCATATATAAGACCTCTAAAATATCGGAAGCCAGTAATTGAAAAGAATCCACTAAACCATTTGATTTGATTCTTAAGCAGTGGGGGGAAAATGCTGAAAGAAGGGGGGCAAATTGCTTTGGCTGGTTGAGATAACTGGAATTTACCTGTTAACTTAGTTTTGGTGCAAAATTTTGATTTTCTCTTTGGTCTTTTTGCGTAGCTCTAAATGAAGCCTCTGTCATTGTGAGGAAGAATACACCTTTGACAAATATGTTCATGTGCCACTGGTTTAATGAGGTGGTTCGTTTCACTTCAAGGGATCAATTAAGCTTTCCATATGTTCTTTGGCGGTTGAAAGTACTAAAGAACATCAATATGTTCCCGGTCTGCACACGCAAAGATCTTGTTAACAGCATGGGCCATATACGCAAGGCTAAGCCTTTAACAAATTAATCTTATTGTTTCAGTACCACTTCAACTTCTTGATTATCACTTAACAGATGCTGGGGGAAAATGGGGATTATTTCAACTTTTGATTGCTTTATTATCTCCTTGTATGTTTTGTAGGTGGCATCGGGCAACTGAGCCTACCTCCTTATCTATTTCTCTTTCGAGTCTTCAATTTGTTTATTATTTTATGACGAAAAGATTCATTATTCTTTTGGTTAGAAGAAATTGTTATACCTGAAATTTTGTATCTTTGTATGTAGAGATCTGATTGTAAGACTTTTTCTTACCTTCATTTACTCTAGCGTTGATTGTGTTGTAGTTTCTTGATCACAAATAGATTTTTTTGTCTCTCAACTGATCATATTCACAAGTTATTCTCCACACCTGCTTACTTGAATTCTACTATCTAGCACCATTGCCTATCTATATAGATAAATATCATGTAGAGCGGCCGCCAAAGATATAGGGTTCATTTTAGAACAAAACTTGATCTCTTCAGTGCATCATAAGGTAATAACTGAAAATGAAACATCATTTTATCAGAATCACTTTGTAAGGAAAACTTATTTGTTAATACACTATGATACATTTGCATAGTTTACACCTAGAAAGAGAAGTTTTTGTATGGCCGAATTATTTACAATATTCAAAGCCAATTGACTAAGAATCCAAAGTGTCCAATGATATGAATCTAAAATCAAGATTTAAGGCAATAATCAAAGAAATTGAAAGTTCAGCGGTACAAACGAGTATAAAATCAAAGTTTGATCTAAAATCAAGATTTAAGGCCATAATCAAAGATATTGAAAGCGGTACAAACGAGTATAAAATCAAAGTTTGATCTAAAATCAAGATTTAAGGCCATAATCAAAGATATTGAAAGTTCAGTGGTATAAACGAGTATAAAATCAAAGTTTAATGCCATAGTTGAAGAAATTGAAAGTTCGGTGGTGTAAACGAATCAGCGGGTAAAATTCGGTGGTATATGGTGTAGTTTACCCTTGTTTTAATTAATGAACTCATAATGTTTCTTGATTCATGAGATAATACTATACCATACCATAGACTACACACAAGTCATTTTAAAATTGATTCCACAGTTAGGGACTAGTTTTATAATGTAGTTATTGTTGTTGAATCATTTTCATTGGCATGTACCTGACTGAACATGTGTATGCAATTAACATAGTCGAGTGTATTAAGTTTTTTTTTTATAATGTCCTGAATTTCTTGTCAAGCAGGAGGCAGGCAAGATATGCGAGGCCAACTTCTACATATTTTACCAACTTATATAATCTGGCTGGAGTTTAATGATCAATGCAGGACATATTTTATATAAGTTAAATCTCATAAATCTCCAGCCATTTTACATATTTTATATAAGTTTAATCTCATAAATCTGGAATCCTTTTAATAAATATAATAATACTAGCTCTATAATTCAGCTAGTAAATTATGATGTGTAGCATTTGGTAAAACTAGCTGTAAATCTGTAGTGTTAGTAATAATGCAAATGCTAGAAGTAATTTTTTTTGGTTTAAGATGCATAGATGGCTATTATTGAAAGCTAAGAAAAGAGACAATTTGTTGAAAGAAGACTATATTCTTTTTTTGTTTAAAGATTGTGTACATGTAAAGAATACTTTTATGTACAATTAGAATGCATAAGATTTCAACAGTTGAGGATGTTGAGAACGGTGACTCTAGCTTTGATCAACCTTCTGAAGAAGCTTTCAAGACCTTCATCAAGATCTTGGATGCACATCTCTGAGTTTTGTAGCTCATTCTGCAAATTCTCAACATGCTTCGTCTTTCCGGATTTAATGAATGAACGCAATGTAGCTTCGGCGTTTGCAGTTCCATTTGTTTTTTGTTCTTCTTGCTCGCACATTACTCTTTTCTGGTGCATTGTCTTCGAAACTAGTGACCATCGGCTTGATTTCGAATCTGTTTCTGGCCCTGAAATAAAGGACAACAAGGATTCTAGCAATCTGGCAGTTGCTGCTTCTACTTGTTTTAAGTTGTTAATCATGGCTCCGCTCTCACTATCTTTGTTGAAGGAAGAGCAGCTAAGTTTATTCTCCATATGTTTCAAGTTCTTCAAGGCCTTGCAGATTGCCTTTCTTACTGCCTTCCTAGAGGTTAAGTACTTCCTAACCTCATTAGCAAGCCCTTCAACTCTTCTTCGACGCAAAATCGATTGAAGTTTTTGTGTGCATTCCTTTGTTTGCAACATGACATCTTTAGCAGTTCCGCATACATCAAGAAGCATGAGAGATCCATCCAAAAGTTCTTCAACCCATTTCCTTTGCTGCTCTTGAACTAGAGCTTGTTGAGAAAGGGGCAATTGAAGCAACATATCAACAGAGTCATACAATTCTTGAAGACAGTTCAGTTGATGTGCTATTGATGAAGATGTAGAGGCCGACTGTGACGCCCTCAATCGGTGCAGATTTTCATCAATTTGTGAAGTGATGGGGTGTTGCCTTGAAAGCAAGCTGTTTGAGCGAGCATGGAAAGGAGGTTGGACATTCAAAGGAGAGGAAGCCATTTCTTTTTCTTAGAGAAGAAAGAAGGCCTTTCAATTGTGTTGCAACTCAGTCTAGCTATTTGCTATCTTCCCATTATCATCTGCTGTATATATATATATAAATCACAGGCTGTGGGGAGACGAGGAATCTCATCCTGTTTAAATATCAACTACAAGTAACATGGACTTGATTCAGATCTACACGATTATCATGAAAATGTTCGTGTTTTGTCTCCTCTCCACATCAAAACAACTAATTACCCTTATCTTCAACAACATGATACCAATACAATAATAATATATTAACACACACGATGGTGCTAAGACAGTATACAGGTAATGGCCATTTTCTCGTTTCCGTACTTCCCTTTATATTAATGAACAATTGCTTTCAACTTGTCTTCAGGTTATAGTGTTATTGTTGAATTTGTTCTTCAAAAGGGAGGCAAGATCCGCGTGCTTGACTTCTGTAATATAATGTTTTGCGGGAAAGCTGTACCTGTCTGCCTATTTTTTATAATGCAATTCGTGTATGATCTGAACCAACCGTGTGAATGACAATTTGTTTAATGATATTGAAAGTGGGGGAAACTGCAAATAAATACACCTGAAGAAGCATTCAACTCCATCTTTTAGCTGGCTGGCTTTGCATCTCAACATTCATGCCGTTCTCAGATTTGCTCATTTTTGGACTCAAAAGTGATCTTAAAACAGCATCGATCTTTTCAAATTCATTAATGTCTCATTTTTCGGCTTGCTTGCACACTATTCCTTTGTGGTTTAATGGTTAAGACACTAACAACCAGTGGGTAGACTTTCATTGTTGCTTTGGCCCTGAGATGAGGGTCAAAAATTACTCAAACATGGAAGAAGAGACTGCTTCAAGCTCCCTTAGCAAGCTAAAGGCTAATCATTGCCTTGGTATCATGATTATCCGTAGACGAGAAACCACGTTTCATTTCCAAATCCTTGGATTTAATGTCAAGCAGTGATTGGATAATGGGTTTTTTAACAGTCATACACAATTTTAACGGTCTCGATATCATGAGAAACAAGAAATGGAAGGAAAAGTTTCTGAAGTATATTTCAAATTGACATGAGAATATTACAATTGTGTTGCATTTAATGTACAGAATGAAGTCCCATGATATTTGAGACTTGATTAGTGGTTGAGTGTGTTGAGAATATGGACCCTAACTTTGATCATGCGCCTAAACAGACCCTCAACCCCTTCTTCAAAGTCTTGCATACAAGTCTCTGATAATTTTAGATCGTTCTCAAGTTTCTGATAATTTAATGTCAGATTTGCTTGCCGCTAGGGATAACAATGAAGTGTCAGCGATTTCCATTTCATTCATCTGCTCTTCTCCACTGCTGACTCTTTTTGTGTGCTATAGCTTCGAAACCAGCGACCACCGGTTCATGTGTGATTCTTTCTCGGGCCTGAAAGTAAAGGCCGACAAGAATTGTAGCACATTAAGAGTGACTTCTTGCACCTCCCTTAATAGGCTAACTATCAAACCAGTCTTGTTTGAGACAGCGCTTTGCCTTATAATAATTGTGATACGATGAATAGTCACAACCTTTTGGCATTTCAACTACTCCTATCAACTCTAGACACTTCATCTTCTCTTAATTAAACTTGACATATTCATGAACATAATTTATTGAGTAAGCTAAAAGGTCTCATTTACTAACAGATTGAAGTTATACTGTGCATTTCTTTACTTGCAACAAGGCATCCTTGGCTGCGGCGCATACATCTAAAAGCCTGAGAGATCCATTCAACAGCTCATAAACGCATTCCCTCTGCTGCTCTTGGGGATAAGATTTGTTGAGTGAAAGGCAGTTGAAGTAGTTTCTCAATGCAATCATGTAAATCTTGAAGTCTACCGCGTTTGTAGTTTAACAATAATGAAGTAGATGCTGACTCAGATGATGCCAATCTACTCAAATGCTCATCAACCTCTGAAGTTAAAGGGTGTGATCTAGAGGGAAAGCTATTAGAACGAGTATGGTAACCAGTTTGGATGTTTGAACTGTAGCCATTATCTCTTCCGGAATGAAAACTCGGAAGTTGTTATCTCGATTTGATGTTGAAATTTGCCTTCTTCCCTTCATGTACTCAATATATATTCTATGAAGGAGGAGACATGAAGAATCTCACCCTTTCAAGTTGCAGTCGTATGGTAACATGGACTTCACACTTATCTCAACAACTATCTCAGCATCGTTCAAGCAATGTCTCCCTCCTAAAAAACTCTACAATTCATAACATGAAACAAATTTATTAGGCTAATATTGTTTAATCATTTTCTTTATGATGTACATGAACATGTGCATGCATTTAGCATGGTTGAGTTTATCAAGTATTTTAATTATGTTCTGAATCTCTTGTCCTTCAGGAGCCAGGCAAGATCTGTGAACACAACTACAAATCTTGCCAACATATTTTGTCAAATTTTTGGATTAACTACTTATTAGGTCCCTGTTAACTTTGATGTTAGACAACTTAATCCCTCATTATCTAATCCTGGTTCCATCCCTGCTCCAAATACAAGGAAAATATCCACATTTGACATCAATCTCTATCCAGCTATGTTAAAATATAAATACCATGTGTTTCGTTGCTCACGTTGATTACCAACCAAGTTGCGGGTGCACGAGAGCTGTTGACAGTTTGACATTGTTTCAGCTAAATAACAAAAGGCAAATTGAATCATTTGCACGTGCGTTTATGCTTATAGTTTTAAACAACAAAACAAGGGGTAGGACAAGATCCACTTTCGTAACCTTTGCTCCATTTTCCCCTAACAAAACCGAAGAAAATAATGTGAACGACAGACTATGAAAAAGCATATTTTATTTGCTTAAAGCTTGTGACATTTGTATCTACCAATTGATACTCAAAGTGTTGCAATATCTTCAACGGGACAACAGGAACATGGACAGCTCATGTATCCAGAGAAAAATCTCAGAAAATCTTGAATCCTTGTTTACCAAATGTAATAATGGAGGCTCTATGCAAGTTAAAATGGGTAGCATTTGGTAAAATTAATTGTGAATCTGTAGTGTTACTAATAATGTGAATGTTAGAAGTTAAAAAAAGAATAGCCAAACTAAGAAAAAGAGAGAATATGTGGAAATGAGACTAATTTTTTTTCCTAAAAAGTGTGTACATGTAAATTATACTTTTATGTACAATTAGAATGCATAAGATTTCAACAGTTGAAGATGTTGAGATCGGTGACTCTAGCTTTGATCAACCTCCTGAAGAAGCTTTCAAGACTGACAACTGTCGTTTCGGTGTCAAAATAAATTCTTTTTTCTCAATTAATAAATAAGGAAATACGTAGTATAGAGAAATAAGGGTCGAATCCCTAGGGACTTAGAAAATCACAAATTTATGTTTGAATGGTTTTTAACCAGGCGAAAAATAGTAAAATGGGGGTTTGCAATATGAGATTTAAATAGTAAAAATGATTAAATAAATTAAAGCAATTAAAGTAAAAATAAGATGATGAAGATTGTGAATAAATACGGTAAAAATCGCCTCAAGCTTTGCTTTGATTCAATTTCCTTTAGATCATCGAATAAGATTTTCTTTTCGGGATTCACGTCGGTTACTTTGTCTACAAGGGCTATCCTCGTGACTCTATCTTGTATACCGAATACCTAAGGCAATCTTTGATTCCGGCTTCGGGAATTGATTCTATCAACATCAATTGTCGTAGATCAATTACCGTTTAAGTTTGTGGCGACCGACTTGGATTGTTGCTTCGATAACCGTCAATTCCGATCTCAATTCCCTCTTGGCGAAGCTATCTCGCCAAGTGTGTTCCCAGGAAGTCAAATTGCTTTCTATAAGCTGAATCTTCCTCCCACACGTTTAATCACAACAACCTCTTGACCAAAGTCAATCTTTTATTTTGAAAACTATTTTGATTTTGAAAAATAAGCGCAGAGATTGAGAGAGATATTCTGAAGATATTAAGGGACCGTTTAGGCTTACTCCAAGTGGGTATTTATAGTCTCTCAAAGCCTAAAGGATAAGCAAAGAAAATAATAAAATAATACAAAAGATAATTGTTTTTAAATTTAAATTCAAACTTAAACTAGTCTCCAAATGCAACTCTACTCGTCAATCTTCCAGAAGGCGTGCAGATAAAGTCTTCTAGAAATCGCCGCTGACTGGACCTTCTAGAAACTGTTACGTCAGAATGTGTCGTTCCCAGAGTCGTGCCCATGTCTGCATCCGTGACCAAATAATAAAAAAATGCAGAATTCACCCGTTTTGTCACAAATTCTGGAAAGTAAGGACCTGCACGAAAACAGGCATAACACAACCAAATCAACAGCAATAACTCCACAAAATCGAAGAAATAACGAGCAAAGATTAACTATTCTGAACACTCATCAAATTCCCCCTCACTTATCTTATGCTTGTCCTCAAGTATGATTAACCAAATCAGTCAAAAACTTCATTAAACGTTATTTTGTCAAGTTTCACATCCAAGGAAGCAAGGTAGAGACCACAATAACTATTTTAGTCAAGAAATCAATCAATTGAACATCACAAATTGGAGCAAGTCAAGTGCAATTGTAATATCCATTCATTCATTAATCTCAATGGTCATAACTCAACACCTTACCGGGATTCACTCAAATCACTCGATGTGTTTGGGGTAAAGAAACCCTCAATGTCAGAATTGTCACGGTATTACCATAGGCCTGCAAGTAAATCAAATCTCCAATACTAATAAGAACAAAATGCATAAATCAAATGGTCTTTTATTGGTTGTAACATGTCTTAGGTAAAGGTGGGGAAAAGGCTAAAAATTCAAGGCAAGGAACTGACAAATAATAATCTCAACTCCATCAAAACATTAAGCACAACAATATAAAAAGACGACATATCAAACAACAAATTTCTTGTCGAAATGCATTTTTTTCTTTTTCACACTTTTGTTGTTTTGTTTTCCATTTTTTTCTTCCATGTCTTTTTTTTTCTCTCTTTTTCT